GAGTAAGAAAATATACGTATAACCGTCATGTAACTCTCATTTAATTACAAGCATGTACATCTAATGAAATGTGGCATCTCCTGAAGCAAGTCCATTTGGTAATTTACGGAGTGACTGGAGTTGAGTAAAAAACCAAATTCCCGTATAACAACTCAAAGAAATTAATCCGTTTGTTATTTGAGCGTATTTATCCATGTGAGCAATGGTCGTAATGTACTTGTTACATCTACGTTAACTTATAGTTCGGTTTCCAATTCACCTCTGCTATTTTATGTTACCTATGAAATGCTTATTGTTTCATGATTTTATATAGTTTTGTAATAGATTAATTCGAGATTAAACTCAGAAATTTGAATTTGAATAAAGACATAGAACTCTTTTGGTTAACATACTGTTTTGGGAAGGAAAAAAAAGGCATAATTGATTCTTTTGATAAAATAAGTGCGAATATAGACATGATTGATAGGGATTGGAAAGGTGACAAAATGAAAAGTTGTCCACAAGGAAGCATCTGCCATAGTGCTGCAATTTAAAAAATATATCAAATAAAATGTGACACTGGAGGTTCAAATGTGGTGACTTCGGATTATCTACAAAGCAGGTGGTTGTTCTGGGATTAGTTGGCTCGCATAGCGGGTTGGATATCCAGGTTAATCAAAAAATATATATATAAAAGACCTAATGTTAAACTTAATAAAGTTTAGAGTAAACTATAATGTTTGTTTATTTGGTTTGTTGTTTACAACGATTTGTGTCTTTATGATTTAAAAACTGTTTTTTTCGTCATTGTGGTTTGCATTTCATTTCTGTTTTGGTTCTAGAGTTAAAAAAATGGGTTAAATTGGGGGTAATATGATTTATTTACCTTTTTAATATCTAATTGCATCATATATTATTGACTAAAATAAAAATCTAACCTAACACACAAACCCTAACTGGCCCACCCAGACCCATCTTCTTCCTCAACCACTGCCTGCACCATTCTTCTTTCCTCCTTCCTTCTTTCCAGCAACCATTCTCCATGACAAAATACACTTCGGTCGAAGAGTTAAAATTAGCATGGCTTAGAATTGGAGCCGGCTTAAAGGGTGTTTGTAAAAAGGGACATGCCGAAGAGTTAAAAGCAGCTCACCAAGAATGGACTTTCTTTCAATATATTTTGGACCTCATAGAAATGGTTTCGGGAAAAGCAGATATTCCAATCGTTAAACACTACGATTGAAGGGCTCGTCAATGAATGTAGGAGGGGTCTTGGTTGGTTTCTGAATGGAGGTGGGTGTGGTTCTGGTTCATCGGGAATGGGGAAGGGACGATGACCCCACCGTGCACTACCAGCTTCGTCTTCCTCATGCTCAGAAACCCGTTTTCCATCAACTCTGTGTCTATGTCTCCTTCACATCAAACCCTAAACCCTTTTGTTCTTGCAAGTAGGTTTTGTGGCGAATGAAGAATCATTCGTACCCTTCTTGCTAAAAGCAAACCATACGGTTTCTTCTCGTTAAAAGCAAGTTTCCTAGGCGAAACAAGAACACCAAATCCAAATCCAAATGCTTTTCTTTCCAAATCCAACTAAATCAGCAACCATCAAAGCCATGGACTGAATCCAAGAATTTTGAAGATAGGTTTGCCCTAAATTTAATGAACTTATTTAACAAAGTTAGTGTGAGGGAAAAAAATGAAATGAAATGGAAACCACATGGATTAAAAAATAGTTTTCAAAAACTAGTGACGAGAAACGTCATAAACATCAAACCATAGTGACGAAAATCATAGTTTACTCTAAAGTTTATCAAGAGCCTACGATAGAATGCAAGATCAATGTTGGTTCGTCATGTCGTGTTTTGGCATGACCAAGAACCAGTAGATAGGTACACTCCCTCGACAATTATGCACTAGGAATTATTCCTTGGGCTAGCTAAAATCCAGAAATAGGGACAATAGTCGTATAGAGAGCGTGTATAAGTTTCAAGAGAAAACCTATGTATATTTGCATATAAGTAATTGAAGATGTTCTTTGGTTTTTATGCATGTATGCATATTATGCACATGTTATATCAGAGAAATTTCTTGTATGTACATGTATATACCGTACAGATTAATAATTATTAAGGTGTTCCTCGGTTTTTTATTTTTTTGGGTTTTCCCCTTAATCTAACTATATATATATATATATATATATATATATATATATATATATATATAATAGTTCCATTAAGAAACAACCACTGAATCATTAAGAGGTGAATCTTGTTTGACTGAATAAAAAGTTTTGATTCTTAATGATTTTAAAACCCT